CCTCAGGCTCCGCTCGGGGGGCCAGGCCGGGCTGGCGTTGCCTCAGGCTCCGCTCGGGGGGCCAGGCCGGGCTGGCATCGCGATGGCCAGGCTGGAGGTTGAGGCCCAGAACCTGCCCAAGGTCAAGCAAGGCATCGGCAGCAGGGCGGGAGTAAAACCCGCCTCCTCCACCCCATGCGAGCGCCCTAACCACTGGGCCATCCTCCCCTCTCCTCCCCGGCGCCTGCCATGTCACTGGGAATGGCCGAACCAGCTCAGCCCAGTACCCGGCCCAGGCCTGCCTGCGATGCCCGTGAGGAACGGAAACGCTGGAGCCATCGATTGTCTCCACCCTGTCCCATGGTTCTGCCCAGAGCTGGTCAGGGGTGAGGGGCACCAGTGGGGCTGGGGGGCGCTGGCCGTACCCCTTCACTTTAACATGGACTGAGGTTCCCCAGCCGTGCCAGGTGGTGGCAGAGAGTGGCCTTGCCATGCAGTGCCCGCTCTCCCCCGAGTCCCACTCACCCTGGCACACGGGGCAGCACTTGCCGGGGGGACTGGTGGGGTGGCGACAGCCTGGCGGCTCGCAGGGCGTCTTGGTGCAGGTGACGAAGCCGCGGAGGCAGGCGCAGCGGCCGCAGGCGTCCTGGGGGTCTGGGAACTCCTGGCCATCGAGGTAACCCTCGCCCAGGTACTCGCAGCCTGTGGGGGGCCGGACAGAGTGAGCCCAGTGCCAGGCGCTGCTGGGGGGTGAGAGCCCAAGACACCCCCCAGGGGCTGACCCACCCCCCAGCCCTGGCACTCCGGCTGGTGGAGCCCAGCCTGACCTCCACCCGCGCCCCACGCCCAACCCACCTTCGCAGACCTGGCAGCATGGCCCCCGGGCAGGGAAGGGGCACTGGAGCAGCGGGCAGGCCCTGGGCTGGCAGGAGACGCTGCCCTCCCAGCAGGTGCAGATGCGGCACGGCTCCGCGGGGTCCGGGAACTGCTCTCCGTTGGGCAGCTCCTTCCCCTGGTACAGGCAGCCTGGGGGCAGAGCGGGCGATGGCACTGGGCACGAGAGCGGGGCAGGAGCAGAGACGTGGGGCAGGGGCTGTGGGGAAGTGTTCCTGTTGGACGAGGCAGCTGTCCTGCTACAGGGGGGAGCAGAGCATGGGGCTGTAGGGGACTTGGGGAGCCCAGCAGGAGACTTGGGGGGTACCGTCACAGGAGCAGCAGCAGTCCCGCCACAGGGGGTGGGCGCAGAGGGCTGGGGACCCCACGGGAGGACTCGGGGAGCCCAGCAGGGGGTTCAGGGGGCCTAGCAAGGGGCTCGGGGGGGGGGTACAGTCGCAGGAGCGGCAGCAGTCCCACCGCAGGGGTGGGTGGAGAACACAGAGGTGGGGGGGGTCAGCAGGAGCCTCAGGGGATCCAGGGGGCCCAGGGAAGCCCATGGGGGCCCCAGCGGGACCGGGAGGCCCAGTGTGGCCTGTGGGGGGCCCAGTGTGGGGGGTACCATCACAGGAGCGGCAGCAGTCCTGCCGCAGGGGGTGGGTGCAGAGAACGGGGGCACAAGGCTGGCGCTGGCAGGTGACGGTCCCGTTGGCACAGATGCAGTGGCGGCAGGAGTCCGAGGGGTCGTAGAATCGCTGCGTGTGCTGGTAGGAGACGCCC